GGGTTAGCAAACTGTCAAATTTGACCGACCGATACATGATAAATTGGTTTTTTAATCTATGGACCGTTACTTTTATGAAAATAAATACGGGAGTTTTGGCGGATTACTTCTCCTGTATTCTTGTTTAACTAATGGTTTAAAGTTGATTTTGATAAATGTCTGCGCATGTGAACTATTAGTGGAAACGGTGAAACAAGTACTCCGACAGTGATGTGAATATCAAGATAAGGTGTCTGTCTACTTAGGCGCCTTGAGATACTATCGCTAACTGCCTGCCAACTCAAGTTGCCGTCGAAATCTCCCAAAAAGTACACAATGTGACGCATCAACATATTGTGAAGCAGCGTACTTTAAAAGATTATTATTACTTGACACTGACAATCTGTAAAACGAAGATCCCGAATGAAATGGACATGGCTTAAAGGACAAGCATCCAAGACAAAAAAGTGTAAATAGTTTTGCCGCCACTCTGCAGCTTTTTGAATAATTTTCAGATTCAGATATGTACTTAAAACTTAATTTTGTCACTTTTTAATTAGCTGGGTTTGAAAGTGAATGTTTATTTAATTTTAGATGTTTAAAAAGTTGGTAAATAACAATTCAGTTTGTGCTGTGTATTTTCACAGCAATGGGATAGTATTATGTACTGTCTACGTAAAATATGTTCACTAAGAGATTTACGAAGAGGCGCAGTTATTATTTTGGCTTAGCTTTCCATTAACGTCAGTGGAGTTTGGTGTTGAAACGTATTTTTACAGAAAGATTACACTATTATAAGCACACACACAAAGTCTCAATATACGGAAACGCGTAATTTTTGAGAAAAAATAATTGAAAATCAATTATTCTTGCAATGTTTATGTCTAATCTGCTAATAAACTGGCGCCATTTTGTAATGTCATTGTCGAGGTCAATAGGGATGTCGATTCTTTCCGAAAAAGGTCGTTTTTTAAATCGATTCAAATCGTAAGCTGATGTATCGGTTCACAAAAATCGATTTCTAAAATATCTATATATTTTTAATGTTTCTATTTATAATGTAAATATAAACCCATTTTATGAAAAACAAGAAAGATACCATGATAAATAATCTCTTATTGAAATTTGTTTTATTTAACAGTACCTATTAGGGCAGATAACAAATAAAATAGGTTAGGTTCAACTTATGTCAAAGAACCGAATTGATTGACCCTGACTCCACCTGGTACGAGTCTGTCCTACCCCTAGAGTGGTTTTATAGAGCCGGAGGCGCGTAGGGGGAGCAGCCTCCGCCTGCTGTAACAAATCGTAGGCATCGGACGAATCGGAGCGGCTGAGGCTGGTCGCCGAAGGCGACCAACAAGCCGAAGCTGCGAAGGCGAGGAGGGATGCCTGCGATTTGTTACGCTAAGGCGTAGAGGTTGCTCTTCCCGCAGCGCCGGAGACGTAGCAGTCTCAAAATAGATACAGAAATCCTTATGAATCAGTCCCCTTATTTTTTTATGATGAAGGGGATTTTTTTCTCATAAAATGGATTTATATTTACATTATAAATTATAAATGCAAACATGAACAAAATATCGATATTTTAGAAATCGATTTTTTGGGAATCGATACAACAGCTTACGATTTGAATCGATTTAAAAATCGACCTTTTTCGGAAAGAATCGACATCCCTATTGACCTCGACAATGACATTACAAAATGGCGCCAGTTTATTAGCAGATTAGACAAACATTGCAAGAATAATTGATTTTCAATTATTCTTTTCTCAAAAATTACGCGTTTCCGTATATTGAGACTTTGTGTGTGTGCTTATAATAGTGTAATCTTTCTGTAAAAATACGTATCAACACCAAACTCCACTGACGTCAATGGAAAGTCGTACCATTATTTTGCTTTTATTTTTTACTGTTTGTTAAATAAATGTTTTTGTATTCCAAGAATAAATTGAATTTTATTCTTACAATCACAAGTAACCATAAGAATAAAATAGTATGATTAGTAAAATAACATTAATAGTACAAATATAAATAATAAAGACGTTACTTAGAAAAGAGAATTTAAATGAAAAATATGAGTAGGTAGGTACTAGGTAAATATTAACGAAAGTAATATAGAAACTAATCTTTATCACTCGAAGTATCAGTCATTGCCACCTGTATTTATAATAAGATATTCAACGTCATCACGTTCTGAATCATACTAAAATAGCATTTTTGTTATTTGTTCACTCAAAATTTCATCTTGGAGGCACTTCAATGTTCTGCCAAGGATGAAAAAAACATTTTCTTATGACTATTGATGAAACAAACCTTTTACTACAGCTTTTCGTTTAAAATGCCAAATTTTCCTGCGGGGGTACGCCACACGCGGCGACGTTTGATATCCCCGCTTTGACAAGATGCGGCACGTGCCGAAACAGGGCGATACAAAGGCGACCGAATAACAAAAAAGATAGACGGAGAGCTAATTACATAATATATAATTTCACGTGTGTGTTCTACATACTATAGTTATGTTTACCTACCTACTCATATTTTTCTTATATACTTGTGTTTATTATTTATATTAATATTTTGTTACAATAGCCAAATAAATAGTATTCTATTTTATTAACATAATAATAAAACAGAATACTATTCTTGGAATTGAAAAAAAATATTTAACACAGTAAAAAATAATAAAATAAAGCCTCCGGATTTACCGACACTATCTTAGTAAACAGACTATATATTATTATAAATGATGTTTATTACAATGTATGTATGTAACGCAAAACATTAAAGATATATATACCTACTGTTCTGACTTAACTAGTTGAGCTAATTAAATAAAAAGGTGTCGCTTTTTAAAATACTAATAAACAAAGAGAAAAATATAAGATAAGAATTGTATACTTAGGAAATAGAAATAAGAAACACCTAAACAGGCAAAGGGAATTAATTTACTACTTACATCAGCTACTATTAAAGGAACAATTGGAAAGTGGTGGTACCCAGAGACCACCGCTATTTTCTCAAGACCTTACAAAGGGGCTCGTTTGTTTATGGGTTAACTGCATTGTAGGTAGCTCAGGTGCTATATGTGAATCCTACTTAATATATTCGAAGGAAATGTTATTTAAGATTGACAGACATTTAAAACAGAGTCTAAATTTATTAGCTATTAAATGCACATAATTTTTGGTTAACTAAAAATCAGGATATGGGCGATATTTATTTTGCGATACACCAATACATTACAAACGTAATGTATGTCTATCATCCAAATCGATTTGCGGAATTATCATTCACCACAAAATTTGAAAAAAAAAGTTAATGTTAATTACTAGATATTGAAAATTAATACATAAATGTAACCCAACTTATTTGTGTCTCTATTTTTCTTTTATTTATGAAACTGAAGGGACAAACTAACTGACAGTCCACCTGATGGTATGTGACTACTGCAGTCTCTGGACATGTGCAGCAAATTTCAAATGAAAGCTACAGATGCTTTGTTATCTTTGAATAAGGTGCACCATTGTGTACAATTACTTGAATAGAAATCAAAACTATTTACCTATTCAGTTTAGGTTTGTTTAAAGCTCTTTGAATACCAAAAGCTTCACTGTTTCAGAAAACAATACCATCACAGAAAAGCACTCGCGAGAAACTGGATCTTTTTTTAAGTGCTATGTTACAATTTCATTTACAATTTACAATAAAGCAGTACAATTTATACTAATATTTTTCAAATATTACATAATACAATATATCAGTAGCAGCTGGAGGAAATGTTGCAGCACTGAGGGTCGTGGGCTCGAATCCTACATGGCATCTGGGTTTGGATGTCTGTCCTTGTAAAATTTATGTAAACTCCTACCTCTACAATACAGGAGAAAATTCTAGTGGGGGTAATGTTTGTTCTAAAAAAAGTGCAGATTTATACCAGGTTTCTATAATTATAAAACATTTTGTATTCCCTAGAAAAAGAATAAGTGGTGTTTCATTTTTTAGTCTTCTCAAATTGCCAGACGCATGGGTTTTATAAAAACTGTTTATAACATGCACTTTCCATGTAATAAAACGGATCATAATGAAGAACTAAATATTTCTTAAATATAAGAATCGACCATGTTATTTTCACACATGAACACATGATTGTCATCAATATCTTGTTTACTATTGACCTATTTTATAGTAAACCATTTATAACAGAATTTCCTTAAAAAAGAATAATTTAGAAACCCTAAATTTAGAAACTATAAGTTTTTAAATTTTATATAATTGTTGCACATTTTCAGAAAAATTATTTTAAAATTTTATGCAATTACTCAGATTTTTGAGTCAATCTACATTTAGAAACCACTAGCATATCACCTTAACCCGTTTTATAGATGACAGTGTGTTTTTCATTAAATGTAATTTTAATGACATGGAAATTAAAATTTTAACTTACCATACATTTTTTTATATATTCTGTCTATTACAGATAGCCTGAGAACTAAGTTTGTTTTCAATGATGATGTGTTTTGTTGATGTATTAAAACTATAAACCATAAAGTAATTAAATAAATTGCAAATATAGTATTTAAAAACATTGATTAGCATTTTAAGCAAATAAACTTTCCGATTTTTTTAGGTAATAAGATATTTTATCTAATACATACATGTAAAGGCACAAAAAAATAACTATACTTTTAATTTTTAGTATGATCTGTCTTATGTGAAAAGTGTAGTATAATATTCAATCTTTGTTTTCAATAAAAGGTAAAAGATGATGGAGAAACAGAATTACAAATATTTTGTATTATATAAATAATGTACATATTTATTTATTTAATAACGAATAACTAATAATATTGCGATGCAAAATATAGATTTAATTCATGTAGGTTATACATTTAATATGGAATTTTTTGAGTTTCATGTCATTAATTTCTTCAACATCTTGTAAAAATGAAATGAAACTTATGAATGCTTATAAATATAAACACCAAAATTCAAGAGTTTTATCCATTCTGATAGATAATTATTTTAATGTAAAACATACAAGCTATCAAGCTCACTTTCATCTACAATCTGTAACAACACTTGTAAATCTTCTAGACTTGAAATGTACTTCGGTGCTCCTATAAACTCAACTGATTTTCCTTCTAACTCAATACTATACTTTAAGTTTTTTGGACATTTTACAGACTTATAACATTTGCCATTTATATATTTTTTAAATATAACATGAGTTACACTTACACAGTTAAAAATGGAGATACTCTTATCAGTTTGGTCATTATTTTTAGATATGGAAACTTCTTCAGTATGATTCACATCTTTTTTAATTTGTTCTACATTATTATCAGAAATAGTCTCATTGTTTTCATTACCTTTACATTCAGCAACATTGTTATTCACAGGGGTGTCATCTTTTGGTAGATTTTCATTTGGTAAGTGTTCTTCAATTCCTTTCTGTAGGGCCTCATCAAGTATGGAAGGGCTGTGAGGATTATCTACCTCTTCGGCAGTATTTGCTTCTTCAGATTTTGTGGGCGCTTCTTCGTTTAAAACTTTAGATTTACTGTCAGCTATATTATTTAATTGATCCATATCTTCAATTAATTTACTTACATCTGTACTGTCAACTTCCATGGGTATTGGCTCAGCATCTTTATTTTCAGATTTTGACTTACCGAGAAGGATCGCTTCCACATCACTTGATTCTAAATTATTTTTGAATTGTTCTGAACTGAGTTCATTTTCTTTAAGAGTATTTTCTGAAGTATTATCATTTAAGATGTCCATAATTGAAGGAAACTCTTCAACTTTGGATTCAGGCACATCAGACTTTGATTTCTCTATAGGTTTTTCATTGTACATTAAGTCTTCCAATTCAGCTGCTATGCGGTCATAAACTTTATCATCTTTGGGTTCTTCATTTTTTGGAAAATAATCAATACACCATTCTTCAGAGGGTAATAAACTTTTATTTAGGTTAGGCAAAAGATCAATTAAGGATATTTTAGTTTTTATTTCCTGATTGTTATTATTTGATATGTTAGGCACTGTGAATACAATGCCATACTGTTTAAAATTAGAATTCAATGTTTTCTTACCATAGTCATAATTAATTTCTTTTACTATTACTTGATCCTTTTTCAGACAATTATTTTCTTTAAGAATGTTATTTGTCTGATTAAGCAAATCATTCTTCACGTTAACAGTTTGATTAAACTTCACCTCAAGCCCAATTTCTGGTAGTTCCTTATTACCCTTAAATTTTTTTGGAACGTGTATACCTTTTATAGTTTGAACTGCTTTTGGGATAAGTACAGCTTTTGAATTCTGTGCAGCTTTTGAGTTCTGTGCAGCTTTTGAGTTCTGTGCAGCTTTTGAGTTCTGTGCAGCTTTTGGCGTCTGTGCTGCTTTAGGGGTCTGTGCAGCCTTTGGGGTTTCAGCTTTTGAAGCTTGTGCAGCTTTAGGAGTCTGTAAAGCTTTTGGGGATTGTGCCGCTTTTGGACTCTGTGCAGCTTTTAGGGCATGTACGGTTTTTGGAGTTTGCATAGCTTTTGTTATTTGTGAAGATTTTGAGGTTTGTACATCTATTGGGATTTTTAAAGCTTTTGGGGTTTGTAACACTTTTGCAGGGTGCTGCTTATAAGTATTTCTACGTACAAGAACCATTCCATTTTCGTTGCTTTTTAGTCTAGAATTTGAATTAGATGCGTTAGACTCTACAGACTTTTTCGTCTTAGGTGACTTATTACTTTCGTATTGAATTTTGACTTTGGTGAATTTACCAAGAATTTTAGCAAAGTCCATTCGAGTAACAAGAACTTTACAGTCGCGACATTTTCCTTCTCTGTACAAACGTTCTATATTTCTTGACATTTTGTAAATACGCCCTCTCTTACTTTCTCGTCCTTTAAACGAAATCATCATTAATTTATACTAGTTTTATCACAAATAAGACAAATATTTTTCTATATGCATTTGGACAAAATTGTGAAGAAACGTAGCCACATTTCCCGCGCAGATGATATCACAGAGTGTATTTAGGGTAGCTATTGAAAACTAACACCTTCACAAAATATAAGTTATTACTTTTGATATTATTTTCAAACCTTAATTTTAGAACGTGATTTGAATTTGTTATTCACAAAACTTCAACGTCTCAGGGAGAAACAGTACCACATACAAACGAAAATGGCGTCTCGATAGTGATGCGAATGACTTTCATAGCTTGAAATGTAGTCGATGTAAAATAATAAAAAAAAAACACTTTTTAATCTATTCTTATTCATAAATTAAATTTTATTCTATTTGGTCCATGAACTATACTTTTTAGTAACAAATGTGCTGTTCAGGCGGATGTTTTGCCTTTTCCGACGATCATTTGTCCCAAAATAATTTAAAATTAAAATTTTTGTACAACCGACTTCAATATAAATGATTAAGAATAACTCAAAAACTATTGGTCAAACTTTGATCAACCAGGGACCACATGTACCAGCTTTCAAATAAAAAAAAGAATCACCGAAATCAGTTCACCCGGAAAAAAATGAAGCAACACATATAAAAAAAAAACATACAGTCGAATTGAGTAGCTCTTCCTTTTTGAAGTCGATAGAAAATCCTGAAAGACGTAATAAAAAATATTAAGGCTTATCGAGACAAAACTATCTCTCAATATGGTCCAAATTGCACACAGTTTGTATAATTTAATTGAAATGAGTTCAGTAGTTTATTAGTTCATTGCGGACAAACAATATGACACGTAATTTTTATATATAAAGATAGGGCAGTAATGAGGAATAATAATTTTACGCTCACCATATCTCACAAGTTGGGAGTGACGTGAATTTATTTCTTACACAATGTTATTATAAAGGAGAAATTGCATTTAAATAAAAGTTTATCTGTTTCTAGAGTGTGTTAATAAACAATACAATGCCTCAGTGGTTTGCTCTTTAATTTTTTGCACATCTTTTGAAATTTTTCAACTTTTAGATTGTTGTTTATCTAATTAATATAAAATATAACTAATATTTCAGAAATAATCATTAACCCTTACATTTTTCGAACAAATTAATTTCCCCCGCTATGAAGTCTGTCAAAGGCGTGCCCTAGTGGCATAAAAAGTCGTGGATGCTCTTATTATTTCTCCTGTCTCATGAAGTCATTCTACATAGGTACACAATTCTACAAGTACAAATAGCCATAACACCAACAATTATTTGTACAGGTGTAGATAATATCAATCACAATGCGCTAGTACTTTTTATAAGTTTGTGATACCAATATTTGTTTTCTACGGCTATTGAACTTATGGCGCACTGCGTCGCTCCCAAATCTGTACTGATTTTGCTACTCTACAATTAGTGTTTTATATTCAGATAAATATAAATGCCAAGCGAATTTATAGGATGAACATATAATTCTATTAACAATATGATAACTAATTTGGGTAATATATGGCCGACAATTTTTGTACGCTTGTTGCCATTTTAAATTCATATTTTAACTCAAACTTACGTGCTTTCTTTCGGATTTGTCTTTAAAAACATTATGCACTCTTCAACAGCGCTTTATTAGGTCATTGTTCATCGGACTTGCTTACTTGATAGAATGTTTTCATAGAAATCATGAAGGTTATCAAATACAAGATTATTAAATTAACATGAATTCAACTATGTATAATAGCTTGGCCGTGGAAGGAAATTGGATATCTCACATTTTAATGCGGAGACAATAGTTTCGTCAATGACAACGATTGCAGGCGTAGAAAGCTGTAGTAGCATAATATTACCATAGTAATCTTCTTCCTGCTTTGAGGTCAGAAAAAGGCTAAGTACTTCGATGGAATGTAACGGCTATCTAGACACTTTAGGTTAGAACACAGAAGACATATCACTGTCGTTTGGCTGCAGATATAGGTGAGAGGGTGCTACATACACATAAGAACTTATAGGAAGAAAAGCAGTCCTACGATCGGTAAAATATTATATAGTTCTTTGAAGCTGGCTTAACTTTTTGAAAGTTAAATTTTATCTTATTATTATACTCTTTGATAGCAGCCGTGTTAGTATTTAGGAAGTGGCGCCAATGGCCAGAATTGAGTGTGCTCTTAATCGAATGACGTAAAATTTAATAAATCCAAAAATTCTTGTTCTTAATATAATTTGTAATTAAACAAAATATTGTCAATGACATTTAAAGAAATATGATATATACTTCTGCTGTAGAAATTCTAAGGACGCTAATCGATGACTTCTACTCATAAGAAATGATATATATTGCAATTTAAGAAATTCCAAAAATATATAGGTGGTCGCTAGTACGATAGATTATAGTGATGGGCGTTTAATGAGCAAACAGTTTTCTTACAATTTTTCTCTGGTGTCGACGGAAAACTCTTTACAAATTAAAAACTAGTTGAACTAGATGAAGGATAATTTCAAGCCAAATTCATGTAATTTTAAGGCAGTGTGCCACTGCGAGGAAAGGTTATCGGGATAAAAGATAATTCTCGGTTTTTGATAGCAAGCATGTGCATGAAATACTTTTGATAAGCCAAATATCAAGTTAATTAAAATTTGCATTGGTATATGATTTGGCTACCTCTCCTGCATTTAATTATTGCGATAATCCCATTATATTATAGGAGTTCATCATGAACGACAATTGCCTATCCGCTTGCCAGGCGTGGCAACTTTGGCAAATAAATCCCCTATTATCCTCCTGCAATCCATGCAGGAAGCCTATGTTGAGCAGTGGCCTTTAATAGGCTGTAACGGTAAATGACAATCCAATGGAGAGTCCATTTATTTTTATGTAGGTGCATTTAACCATTTAAAAAGTTATTGTTAACCAACAACAACAAAAAATCAGGAGGCTCTCTATTCGACTGTGTGTTTATTTTGTATGTATGTTACGCGATATCTACCTAATTTGATGATTCTTTTTGAAGTGACAACTTCATTAGGATCGTTGTGATTTGAACTCGATGAGACGAAAAGGCGACAGTAAAAATATTATAGTTTGTAAAATAATGAGATAGAATATAGTATACAGTGTATCCTGTTATGTATGGAAATTATACATGAGCAGTAAGGATTAAGGATGAAACTTGTTGATCGAAAAATATAAAGTACTTACTATGATGTAATTGAAAACTTGGAGGCTGTATGATATGTAATAAAATACATAGAGAATAAAATGTAAAATAATTTTTAAACTTGGTAACAATATTACAATAACCCTACAATTATCCTACTCTTTATACTCTGCATTCATCTCATTCTCTCGAATTTTAGTTTTCTGAAGTAGAAGTGAAACCCTACATATATATTTATCTATGGTAAAACCACTTCTACTTCGTGTGAACGGCTCACATGGTTTTTTTTTAAATTATAAATAGGTTTTATTTTTGAGACGGTCCCATAAAAATTTAAGAGTATATTTCCCTTATGATTGTTAAAATATTCCAACCCTAAGGATGGTAAAATAAGAGATGAAGTTTTCAATGTAACCAATGAGGGCATCCACGGTTTTTTTCGGCACCACATAAAAATGAGTTGTAATATTCGACAGATTTTATAGCAAAGAAGTTAATTTGTTCAAAAAATTTAAAGATTAATGTTTCTTTCTGTACTATTAATTGTATTTTACATTAATTAGTACAAAAATGAATAAACAAAAATGACGGCTCCGTGGCGCAGTGGCTTAGCAATTAGTTGTTGCGCTGGGGGCCGCGGGTTCGAATCCCGCACGGAACAAGTATTTGTATGGGCTACAATTAATTGTTCCGGGTCTGGATGTTTGTACTTGTGTAATTTATGTTTGTAAACTGCCTCCACGACACAGGAGAAAATCCTTGTGTGGGGGTAACGTTTTTTTTTAAATATACAAAAAAAAACCAGATCACAGATGTTCACAAAAATAAAAAAATTAAAAAAAGAGTGAAAAATGTGCAAAAAGTTAAAGAGCAAACCACTAAGGCATTGTTTCGTGTATTAATATTATACACTAGCAACTAGCTCTAGCAACTTTTATTTAAAACTAACTGCCCAATTAAATGACATTGTGTAACAAAAAACTTCACCTCAGTGTTGACTAGCGACATCTGGTGAGCGGAAGATTATTAGCCCTCATTAGACGTCATTGAGATTGTTACATTCCATAGTGAACTTAAACTTTAATTAACTAAACTTTAAAAGTAATTTTTAGATTTTGTCAGTTTTTCACGTAAGAAAAGTGAAGTAGCTTGTTTCCTCACAGTATTTTGAATGATTTTATCTGAAGGGCTCTTGTATAAATGTTCCTTCGGTTTCAGGGCCTTGTCGAAGGGCCGTGTCGAATAATGGCAGAATATACGATGGTATGACTTTGTTCCTTTTCGATTTGGGAGAATCGCTAAGCCCTAGTATGGGATGCTTTGTTCGCGGGCACCTTAGCAACTACTCATATCAGGGATACCTCGATTTGAGCCTGGGCAGCATCAGAGAAGGCTGAAATGAGCAAGTGGAGAAAGTATAAGCCTTTGAAAGATGACCACATATTATATGATATTGCCTCGTTGATCTTGTGGCCGTAGATACGATTGTTACTCTCGGGTTTGAATCCCACGTCAGGTCAAAATGAGTCATTGGATTTCTCTGTCAAAAAATTCTCAGCCAGAAGTCAGGAAACCTCAGTACCTCAGAAAGCACGTAAAGCTCTTGGTCCTGCGCCTGATCTCTCTCTGGTTGTGTTTGAAAACGAAAATTAAGATCATCATCATCATTACAGGCCTTCTCAAGTCCACTGCTGAATATAGGCCTCCCCCAAAGAATACCACAAAGCACGGTCCTGAGCCACCTCCATCTATCGACTTCCTACTTGTCTTACCAGGTCGTCACTCCATCTAGTGAGGGGACGAGCTACACTTCGTCCGCCAG